AACATCCCAGTTCTGTGCTCATGCTCACGACAAGGGTCCTGCTTACCTCCCTGCTGCTCTGCCAGCTCTGTCTGTGCTCCCATCTCTTCCCAGCCCAGGAAAAGCGGGTTTAGGGCTGGTCAAGGGCATTCCAAGGCAGGATTTTGTCTCACAAGGGAATTTGCCAGCTAGGCCCCAGAATGTGACCCGGGTAATGAGCTTTGTCACTTGCGGCGTCGCGTGCGGGAGCTGTTTTGGGAGCCAAACCAGCTTTTCTGCACTCCTGAAATGCTCTGAACTCGAGGGGTTGTCTCAGGGATGTCTGGCAGTGAGAGCCATAACACCCTGACATAGCAAGCACGGTTTGTGGGGGAAGCTTTCCCAGGAAAGGCTGTGATTTTCCAAGGGAACAACATCATGTCTTTGGGTAGGACAGGAGATACAGGCTCTCCAGGGAAGTGGTCCAGGCACCAAGTCAGCCAGAGTTCAAGGAGGATTTGGACAATGCTCTCAAGCACAGGGTGGGATTCTTGGGGTTGTGCAAGGCCAGAAGCTGGACTTGATGATCCTTGTGGGTCCCTTCCAACTCAGGATATTCTGTGGTTCTGGATCCTGTCCATCCTGGATGCTGGAGATGGGGCTGCCTGCGCTCAGCTGCAGCCTGGTGGGAAACCCAAGCATGAAGATGCTCTGCAGGAGCAAGAGCCTGGGCTGTTCCATGGGAGCAAAAACCCTGGGAGGCCCCATGGTGGTCCTGGGGAGTTGTACCAGGAAAACAAAGTATTCAAAGAGAAACATTCATGGCTCATCCAGGAGGAGATGGACACAAACACCCTCTTGAGCATTTGTGCATATCCCAACACAGGGAACAACCTGACATAATTTTTAATCCCACCATTGATCCCACTCCTTGTTCTTTGTCCGTGGCCAGGCCCTGAAGCTGACTGCTTGTCCTTCCCAGCCCTGGAACGAGGTCAAGTCACAGAATCCCAAAATGGTTTTGGTTGGAAGGAACCTTCAAGATCCTCCAGCTCTGACCCGCTGCCATGGCCAGGGACCCCTTCCACTCTCCCAGGTTGCTCCAAGCCCTGTCCAACCTGGCCTGAAAACTTCCAGGGACCCAGGGGCAGCCACAGCTTCTCTGGGCAACCTTTTCCAGGACCTCCCAGTCTGAGCCTCACCAGATGCCATGAAAGTTTTACTTCCATGAGAGGGAAAACCAGCCTTTATCAGCCCAGGATCAGCCCCTGCCAAGAGCAGCACACACGTGTTGATAGACAGGATGGATTTTCGTGTCAGAAGAGTGGTTTTGCTTATCTTCCACTGCACACAGAGGAGCTTATTAAAGCAAAGTAGGTCAGGCACATGATATAGCAGTGTGATCTATGTGAAAGGCACTGGGAGGTGTTCATTGTGCTGAGACACTCCACTCCTGATGGATTTATTCCACTTCACACAAAAAGACTCGGCCAGAGCCAAATTCCCCCAACAAAGCCAGGAGCAAGCTCCCCACGAACTCCAGTGAGACCAAGATTTCAGCATCAGTCCCTGGTTTCTGCAGAGGATATTTAAAGGAGTCCACAAAAGGAATTACTACCTCTGAATTCTGTGAAAAATGAAAACTAATAAAATTAAAAACAAATGAGTACAGTGCTGACTTCAGGAGGAGGATGACTTTACTTCTCTAGGCTGTAACAGTTTGTGTCATCATTGAACATAATCACAGAGTCACAGGATGGTTTGAGTTGGAAAGGACCTTAAAGCTCATCCAGTTCCACCCCCTGCCATGGGCAGGGACACCTTCCACTATCCCAGGTTGCTCCCAGCCCTGTCCAACCTGGTTTTGGACACTTCCACAACACTTGTAGCTCTGCAGGAACATGAACACTCACATCTGTGCCTTCATCCAGCTGAAAATTAACCACGTTTTGTCCTCCCTCACTCCCAGTTTCCTCCTCTCCCTGACCTGGCTGGCCACAGCACAGATGCTGCTACAGGCCTGAAGGCTGGACTCAGCCCAGGACTTCATTCCACCTCCTAGACACAAGATTATTCTTATTTAGGCATTAGGAAGCCCTGAATCCTCACTGGTGAGCAGCTGGAAGTGGTACCCCCTTCAAAAGGTGTCAGATCCAGCAGAAGATGCCTGCCCTGGGCTGGCAGAGATAATCTTTCCCTCCCTGGTGACAGGCACCATCCAACGTTATCAAACCCAGCTTGTGGCTCATGCTCAATCAGCAGCTTATTTAGAAAAGTCAGTTTGTTAATTGGGAAAAGTTTAATGAATTTTTGGTGTACAGGGAAAAAAAAAAATTACTTTATATTACTGATGTGTTCATTTGAAAAATTCATTACATTTATGTATTGTGTTTTCATGTAAATACCTCAGCCAAAATGTATTAGCAAAGAATACAATATTATGGTTCATGGTTCATGTGGTATCTGAAAGGAATAATTGTATAACTAATCAGTGAAAACAAAGTAAATGTTCCTCTTGAGCTTGTACAATAAAAAAATGAATTAAAACTATTCAGGCTCAAAAATGCAAATATGCCATGTTTCCCATCAGCAAGAAAATAAAAAAAAATTAATATTTAGAAACCCACCTGCAGTACTGGGTTCAGGTCTGAGGGCCCCAGCTTGAGAAGGATGTGGAGATACTGGAGTGAGTCCAGAGGAAATCACAAACATTCTCCAAGGGCTGGAGCCCCTCTGCCCTGGAGCCAGGCTGGGAGAGCTGGGGGTGCTCACCTGGAGAGGAGAAGAGAAACCTCCAGGGAGAGCTCAGAGCCCCTGCCAGAGCCTAAAGGGCTCCAGGAGAGCTGGAGAGAGACTTGGGAGGAGGGTATGGAATGACAGGACATGGGGAAATGGCTTCAAATTGACAAAAGACAGGGTTAAATGGGATATTGGAAAGAAAATCTTCCCTGTGAGGGTGGTGAGGATTGCCCACAGGAGCTGTGGCTGCCCCAACCCTGGAAGTGTCCAAGGCCAGGTTGGACAGGGCTTAGAGCAACCTGGCATAGTGGAAGGTGTCCCTGCCCATGGCATGGAGCTGGAACTTGATGGACTTCAAGGTCTCTTTCCAACCCAAACCATTCTGAGGTTCTGTAATTCAAGGATCCAGGGTCTCTGGGATTTTCTGACAGTCTCATCACAAGGCACTGACCCAGTATTTGTAAAAAACACTTTCCTGTCCCACAGCCCCAACAAACAGTTCAGGGCTGGACTTGGTTCAGTTTTAGGGGTGGTTTTTAAATGCAGCTTTCTCAAATGATCCCTCCAGTGTTAGGGGAGAATGGGAAGAAGGTGATTAATACACAGGAACAACCCCAGGATCTCCCTGAGAACAACCTGCTGTTGAAGTACATATTTGAATGCATCCAATGCAGAAAACAGACACTGGAATTTGCAATTCCACCTCAATCCCAGTTACTTCCCATCCATTTATCTCTTTACATGTACATATGTAGCTCAGACTGGCAGCATGAGACAGCTTTTCTCAGGGATCCCTGTCCTTACACAGCCTGCTCTGAAACCCCCACATCAGAGCCACACCAAGATGATTTTTGGGAAGCAAAGAGTCTGGATGAGCAGCACAGCCCGTGGAGTTGGTGCAGCAGGGCCACAATCTCTGTGTTTTCCAGAGGGCAGGGAAATGCTGCAAGCAGGTGAGGAGGGGGAAAAAAAACAAGGAGAATCTTCCTGACTCTGGGACTCTCCCAAAAACAGGGGAAAAGGAGGTTTTGCTCAGACTATGAATAACTCAGTGGGGTCACTGAAGCTGTGTCTCTGTTGGACCCCAGGTCATGCACAGTGGAGCCTCCTGGATGGGACCTGCATGTCCTGACAGCAAAGGGGAAAAAAAAGGGAAAGGGAAAGGGAAAGGGAAAGGGAAAGGGAAAGGGAAAGGGAAAGGGAAAGGGAAAGGGAAAGAACTTACTTTCAGCACCATTTTGTGACATTCTGATTTTCACAGCCAATTGCCAACAGCTTTCTCCTCACTCAGGTATGAGCAGGGCTGATGAGCTTTCACCCAGGCTGCTCCCTCAGCAAAACCCCAAAGAGCAGAGGTGGAGGAGATCCAGCACCCCCTGGCAACTTCCAAGGCTGCCGGGTGGGAGATGGAGAGCATCCCAAGCTGCTCACCTGGGCAGGATGAGGAAGCAGTTCCCAGGAAAAATAAGAGCCTCTTCCCGAGATAAATGAAGTCATACATACATGTGTGGGGTGACACTAATCCCGTGACTCTTAATGGATTAGGGACCCAAAGCCTCATTCCCAGCCCGGCAGCTGGGGTGTCCCTTTTCCCAGAACCGGGATCATTCCCGATGCACAGCGTGAATATCCGCAGCTAAATTATTCACTGCCTCCGGGCACACGCCCTGCTCGGAGCCAGAGCTGGATAAAAGCACTCAGGAAAGCTCTTAGAGCATCCTGGCGGCTGCCACGTCATTGTGGATGATTGCAGTGGCTGGAATGAAGGAGCTGGTGCTTTCTCGGAGGGCCAGGAGTGTCCCAGGGCTGCAGGGCTGGCCTCGAGCAGCGTGCACTGGCTCTGTGCAGCCACAAGAGTGTGCCTGAGCCACAGCTTTGGGAAATGGGAGCCTTTCCCTGCCATCATGGTAAAAACTCTCCCCTGCGAGAGAAGGCTCCTGGTCCTGCCCTCCCACCCGCACGGGATCCCCCTCTCTTTAGGGACCAGCCGTGATTCTTGGCTGGAGAGAAAGATTAGGATTTTAGAGCAGGCAGACTTTTGTTGCATGTCTGGGTAGGGATTTTTTGCCTCGGGGATGTTTTTATTTTCAGGTTCCTCAAAGCTGTAAACTCTGGAGATGAATCCCTGCACCTGCAGGGTGAGGTTCTTCTCTCCAATCTTTAAGAGGCGTCCTAACTTCATCCTTGGCAGTGCTGCATTAATTGTTGGACTTGATGACCTTAGAGGTCTTTTTCAGCTTTAATGATTAGATATTTCCATGATCTGAGCTGGTTACTCAGGTTCTTTATTACGAATATGCATTTCTATGGCAAGACCATCCAAACTTCACTCGGTGACTGTAGGATGAACACAGCCCAAAGGGCTAAAATGTGTCATTCAGTGCATGCAGAGAGAGCCAAGGGTGTTTAGTCCAGTTCCAGGGCTGTGCCTGTAGACATTGTGTTTGGCCAACCAAACTGATCTGAAAATTCCCTCCTGTTGTTTGAGACCTGCTTTCAGAGAATCACAAAAGCATTAAAGTTAGAAAAGACCTACAAGATCATTGAGTCCAGCCACTGACTGATCACCACTGTCAACCGGACCAGAGCCCTGAGTGCCACATCCCATCATTTCCTGAAAGCCTCCAGGGCTGGGGACTCCATCACTTCCCTGCGCAGCCCATTCCAATGCTTGACAAACCTGTGAAGAAATTCCTCCTGATGACCAACCTGAAGCTCCTTTGGTGCAGCTTGAGGCCATTTCCTCTTGTCCTGTCTCTTGTTACTGAAAGAAGAGCCTGACCCCCTCTCCTGGCTGTCCCCTCCTGTCAGGGAGTTGTGCAGAGTCAGAAGATTCCCCTGGAGCCTCGTTTTCTCCAGGCTGAGCCCATTTCCAGCTCCCTCAGCCCCTCCTGGGGCTCCAGACCCTTTCCAGCTCCTTCCCCTTCCCTGGACACACTCCAGCCCCTCAGTGCCTTTCTTGTCCTGAGGGGCCCAGAACTGGACACAGCACTCGAGGTGTGGCCTCACCGGTGCCCAGCACCAGGGGACAATCACTACCCTGGTCCTGTGGCCCCTCTGTTCCTGGTCCAGGCCAAGTGCCATTGGCCTCTTGCCCACCTGGGCACACCTGGACTCGGGTTCAGCCACTGCCAACCTAGCTCCTTTTCCACTGGGCAGCTTTCCAGCCACTCTGACTTGGCCTGGAGCATTCCCTGGGGTTGCTGTGGCTCAGGTGCAGGACCCAGTCCCTGGTGTTGTTGAACCTCACACTGTTGGTCTTGGCCCATGGATCCAGCCTGTGCAGATCCCTCTCAGAGCCTTCCTGCCCTCCAGAAAATCAGCACACTGAGGGTACAGTGATTCCCTGAGCCCATGCAGTGATTCCCTGAGCCCATGCAGTGATTCCCTGAGCCCATGCAGTGATTCCATGAGTCCATGCAGTGATTCCCTGAGCCCATGCAGTGATTCCCTGAGCCCATGCAGTGATTCC